CATCCTGGCGGATGGAGATGGCATTGGTTGCCCTCACGGACGATCTCCGTAGGTAACTGGATCAAGGCAGGTTGGTGCTGCTGTTACTGTTAGATTTTACAGCAGCATTCGACACGGTTGACCATGATCCGTTGACCCACTGCATTGCCAATATAGGAGTTTGTGGGGTAGCCTTACAGTGGTGTACCTGATTTTTCCCAGGTCGGGGACAGAGGGTAGCACTAGGGGGGAGGGTGTCGACTAGGTTCCCCTTAACAAGTGGGGTTCCTCAAGGGGCAGTCCTCTCCCCAGTGTTGTTTAACATCTATATGTGCCCCCTCACCCAGTTGGGATGGAGTTTCGGGCTGGGGTATCATCAGTATGCTGATGATTTCCAGCTGTTATCTGCTGATGGGTGGCCACTCAGACACTGTCCCACAAAATCTGTCCGAGGGGCTGGAGGTGATGGTGGGATGGCTGAGGAAAAGCTGGCTGAAACTAAATCCAACTAAGATGGCGGTTCTGTGGCTGGGTGGGTGGGATTCAGGATTGGGGTCCCAACTTCCCACTCTTGATGGTGCACCTCTAATACTGGTGCAAGCCGTCAAGAGCTTTGGTATGGTCTTGGATATCTCCTTGTCTGTGGAGGCCCCAATCATGAACGCTGCTAAGCTGGTGTTCTTCCAACTGTGTTAGGCAAGGCAACTGGCCTCTTTCCTGTCTCACTCTGACCTAGCCACAGTAGTCCACGCAATGGTCAACTCCAGACTGGATTACTGTAACTCGCTTGACACTGGCCTACCTTTGAGACTCCAGAAACTCCAACTGGTCCAGACTGTGGTGGCGCGGGTCCTGATAGGCACACCATGGACCGCACACATTCAACCTGTGCTGCATCAGCTACACTGGCTCCCAGTGGAGTACTGGGTCAAGTTCAAGGTTTTGGTACTGAACTTTTAAGACCATGAGCAGTCTGGGACCCATGTATCTATGGAACCGCCTCCTCTGGTATGTACCACAAAGAGCTTTATGCTCTGCTGAGAACAACTTACTGGTGATCCCTAGCCCTAAAGAAGTCCGGCTGTCCTCAACCAGAGCCAGGGCCTTCTCAGCCCTGGCTCCTACCTGATGGAACTCTCTGCCAAGTATCATCCGTGCCCTCCGGGACTGTATGCAATTCTGCAGGGCATGTAAGACAGAGATGTTCCACCAGGCTTTTGTTTGAAGACAGCAACAGGTACCATCTTACCTGGCACTCCCTTCCCTTGCCCCCACCTTGCTTTTCCTGTTATTGTGAGACAACAATGTATATTGTCTGTTTATTTGGCACCATTCTGATGTTATTGTAGCTACTTCTGGATTTTAAATTGTATAGCTATGTTGTTAACCACCCTGAGCTCTGAGAATTCAGAGCAGGGAGGTATATAACTCCAAACAATAAATAAATAAATAAATAAATAAATAAATAAATAAATAAATAAATAAAGTTTTTGGAGTATCAAGGAATTAGAGGGAGGGGGGATTGGGAATCCTCCCCGTCAACAACTTCCCCGAGTCTCCCCCGCCTCTTTATTTCCTAATTTACATTCAGCTGCCATCAACATTCTGTGCTTTCTAGAGACCAATGAGCATGATGAGTCCTCAATGGAGAGATCATATATACCCTACAGTTTTCTAGTAGGAACTCAGTACAGCAAAAAGGAAGAGGGGATGTGGTGGAGAAGAGGTTGGGGGCTATTCATATGTCATTCCCCCCCCCATAAGTACAGTACACACCCAACAGCTCCTACTCTATTAATCACAACTGAGTGTTAAACATGAAACAAAACAGAATCTAAATCCCTCTCAGTGTTCTTTTCCACATGGCCTATTTGCCCTTTATTCGATGTTGCTGGGAAGCAGGTTCCCCCCCCTGCTTCCCCACAGCATCATGAATTCCTGCTCCTCCCGGATTTTCATCATCTTTTCTTCAATCTTAAAAACAAAACAAAACTTTTTTCCCACCATAGAGAACAATGGAGGGGATGGGGCAACCTGTTTGGGGACCCGTAGAATTGGACCCTCTGGTCCAATGTTTCTGAAACATGGCGGGTATCTTGGGGAGAGGCTCCAGCAGCTACCCTGCGATTTTGGAGCCTCTCCCGCAAACCCCCTCCTCTCCAGCCCCCAGAATATACCCTATGTTTTCGCCATTGACTTCAATGGCCCATAGGATATAATGGGGCCGAACTGCGACAAGCCGATTCAGATCAGAGAATCTGACTCGGCCTGCAGCAGCCTGAAAAGGGGCAGAATGGGCCATTTTCGGGAGGGCGTTCGATTCTGAATGCACATCTCTCCAGCAGCCGGCTTGCTTGGGCTCCCTGCAGCTGCGGGGATCCTGAGCAAGCCAAGGGAAGGTGGTTTAAACCGCCTCTCCTTCCCTCCAGCAGCTGGCTTGCTTGGGCTCTCTGCAGCCGCTGGGATCCTGAGCAAGCCAAGGGAAGGGAAGGGAAGGTGGTTTAAACCGCCTCTCCTTCCCTCTAGCAGCCAGCTTGCTTGGGCTCTCTGCAGCCGCTGGGATCCTGAGCAAGCCAAGGGAAGGGAAGGTGATTTAAACCACCTCTTCTTCTCTCCAGCAGCCGGCTTGCTCGGGCTCCCCGAGCAAACCAAGGGAAGGGAAGGTGGCGGAGCAGCTAGAGACATTGAGCCTCAGCTCCACAAGTAAGGAGCACTCGAGCCCCACCCCCAGCAGCCCTCAGGCCGGAGCACCTGAAGCAGTCTTGGGAGGCAGATTGGCAAAAAGCAAAACCAAAAGTGCAGGAACTCGAGAGAACTCCAGGAATGGAGCCGGTTCCTCTTCCACAGCCCAAAATGTGACCCACGAACCCTGAGCTTGCTTTTTCTCATTTGCGAGTCTGGCCTCCGCACTCCTTTAACAAGGCAGCCCTGAAGCTTGGGGCAGCGGGAGTTTCTTTGCACGCAGCTTGTGTGGCTGGCTGAGTGCCTCTTCTGCTTGCCCACCTCTCACCTCTGCACCTCATCTTCTGCCAGGCATGGAGGAGCCCAGCTCGCCCAGGATTCTTGCCTCCTGCTGCCTTCGCCCTCTGGTGCATGGGTGAGTCCCCAAAGTTTGACTCTTCCTCTACAAGTCTCTAGCGCTGGAGGTATTTGCCTCCTTCCCTCCTGCCTGCTATGGCTGCATAATTGTGAGAGATTTCTTAACATAGTGTTCCTGCCAGGGAAGCTGGGGACCCTGCCCATGAGTCTCCATTTCATCCTCACAACAACCCTGTGGGGTAGGTTAGGTAGAGAAGGGGAGATGTGGCCCAGAGTCACTCAGCCAGCAGAGTGAGAATACAAACCAGAGTGAGAATACAAACCACATCAATCCGCAACTCTGACCACCGTGCAGTGATGCCTCCACTGATCTGTAATGTTCCAGAGGTGTTGTAATGTAATACTCAGTTTCCCAAACGAGTGTATGCCTGTCTGTTGGTCCACTTAGGAGTCTTGATCCTGGTTGTGTGGTGGGCTAGTTGTGGCAAATGGTAGGTGAAAAGTATGCAGGTGGAGAGTGATTCAGCTAAGCATACCTTTATTTAGTTAAGAACAAAGACAACTGACCGGCTCGCAGGCCGGTTTATATGCGTTCAGAAAACCCGCCACCAAACTCACCTAAACACACCCCCTACTCCCGATTGGCTATTTACAGTAACCGAGAGACCTATTGGCCTCCCGGCTGGGGACCTAGCCCTTTCATTGGGCCGGCTAGGATCCTACGGACCCATTGTCTTCAGACGCAAGCTACTAAGGAATTGTGCCTGGCCAGCCCGGGCAAGTCCGGGCATGTCAGGCTGAATACATTACAGTAGGGAAGCTCAGTATTTCTGTATACAGTTGTAGGGGCTTTATTGCAATGTGCTATGGCCTGATATTATGTTCTTATTCCAGTGTGGGGGGTGTGTGGGGCAATGGAAGCTGAGTGATAGGGTCTCTCCAAGTGATTGCCAGAAGTGAGATGCGTCCTGGTCTTGTGTCTTACAGATAATCTTACAAATAGTCCTTTGAATTTATATCAATTGCTTTCAACTTTAAAAGGATCATCATGCTGATTGTGTGAACTTAGGCAAATCACGAGAAGGTAGAGCAGGAAGAGTTGCATCAGTGCTTAGTTCTTGTGGCCCTTTCTTACATGCCCAGGGAAATGCTGATCGCCACTTTGGGGCCAGGAAGCAATTTTTCTCCAGGCCAGTTTGGCCCCCAGTGATTCTGGAGTTGTTTTTTTTTTAAATCATATTCTGGGCATGGAACAGAGGTCACTGGGGTGTGTGGGGGGGATTGGTGAATCTCCTGCATTGTGCAGGGGGTTGGACTAGATGACCCTGGAGGTCCTTTTCCACTCTATGAGTCTATGATTCTATAATTCACCCAGGCTGGCTGTGGGCATGCCAGCACCTCTGTCAGGCAGAAGCGCCTGAGATCCTCCCCCTCCCCCTTTCCTTCACCCGACTTGGGGGTGAAAGGAAGGGAGAGGGGGGAAAGAATGGATCCCAGGTGCTTCTGCCTGTCAGAGGGGCTGGTGCACACTTCGGGTGATGTCAGGGGGTGTGGCATATGCTAATAAGTTATGCTAATGAGCTCCTGCAGCTCTTTTTCTAGGAAATTACCCCTGTCCCCAGCTAACCATCTCATTCAAAGTAGTTTGCAGAGAACACTGAGATTGTTGTGGGGGGAAGGGAGGCAGTCCTTGGGTGGCTGGAACAATCCTGATACTTTCCCCTTTGAACTTGCAAAGGGATGTCTCCCCCACCCCCTCTTTTCCCCTTTAAGGACAGTTTACGCTGTAACCTGAGAAGTAAAGCTGGAGGGATGCAAGGGAAAATTCAGTTCAGCCTCCTTGTTCCCGCCTCTTCCTCCACCCTACCCATATGAGCAGTAGCTGCGCCACGTCACCCAGTGTTCGTCCTGGGGCTCTTCAGTAAGCTCACAGTGTGATGCGCATCCACCACTCTGTCAGGGGAACGGAGCAGCCTAGAGGAGGCAGCAAACGTCCCACAGAAGAAGCACACAAGAAGAACTAATGAACTTTCTTTACATAAACAGAAACTAGTTCTAATATACCAAGGCTTTGCATTCAAGTAGAAGATTTTCAGATAGCAGAAAAAATCTACCAGGAGAAGAAAAGGCTATATGGTTTTTTTACCAAAAGAACAAACAAGTAAATTTAATGGAAAGGCATAATTTAGCTGTTGAGGAAAGGAATCATCCTTGACCAAGTTCTGAGTGGGGATCCAGAAAGTACCTATTAAGAGAAGCTCGAAGAACTGTCAAACATCTCTTCTTCCTCAAGATTACTTATGTGGTTTTCCTTCTAAGCCCTTCGAGCGTTCTTGGGTCACCATGAATATATTTCGGATCCTGGGGGATGTCTCTCACCTCTTAGCTATGATCATATTGCTGGTGAAGATATGGAGATCAAAGTCTTGTGCTGGTAAGTCCTTGTTCTCCTTGCTCCCCATCCCGCTGACCAGGGGGAAACAATGCAGAAGGAATAAACTTGCTGCCCAAAATAATAGATTTCATTTGGGGTTCACCAAGAGCTTACTAGAACAACAAAGCATAACTGACTTAAAAATGAAATAGGGGTGGGAAGAAAGCAGGACTGCATGCATTCTGTTGCTTAGGTAGACCCCACTCTAGTCAACAAATGTTTTGATGAGGGAACAGAGATTTCTCTCAGACACATCCCCATAACATTTTTAATGTGTAGCGATGCTTCTGCGTCAACTTTTATGAAAACTACTTGTTCATTTACTCCCAGGAATGTCCACACAATCTGATTTGGTCACAGTGACTTCCTAGTAAACTGGGAATTTTCAGTGACCCAAGCATTCCTTCTGTGTCTCTTCACAACCTGAAACATCCCTGAACACCAGCAAAGAAAAAATTCTTTTGAAGGGTACAAAGGGCAGGAATCCTCAGCCAGGGGCAGTTGGGATGCCAGTAGCAAAGAAGGGAACCCTTGTATGCCAGAAGTGCAGAAGGACAACTCCAAGCTCCAAACTTGGGCCCTGCTATTACAATCAGCAGAAACGGTGGAGCCAGAGTTTAGCCAAAGACCTCTTTGTTCCTTCTCAGAACTCTCCTCAATGAACAGAAAATGGCCAAAGCCAGGAAGACATAGGCCTTGTACACAAAACACGGGGAAATGCAGGAGTGCCATTTAGAAAGAAGAGGCGGGGTGGGAAGGAGTCGTGCACTTATCCCCCTTGCTTGGGGCCGCAAATAATGTGTCTTTCTTCAGATTCATCTATATATGCTTAGTTATTTTGAGGCATAAAAAGTAACCATAATAAAGGTTCTTAATAGACTGCTTTTTAATAACTGAATCAAGACGATATCCTGGAGCCTAGCCTCCCCCAACCCCACCCCCATAAATACGCGGAGGCCTGAAACTGAGACCTTGAGGAAAGCTTTTTAGTGTCCCAGACTGAATGCTAATCCTTTACTTTCTTGATTTGATTGCTTTCTCTTTCGGTAAAAACCATTCCCCTCTTTGGATGGCTCCTTTTAAACACTTCTCTCGGCATGATTAGTTTCCTGCATGCAAGAAGCCCATCCCACCCTAGCCCTTCCCCCCCCCCTTTTGGGGAGGAATGAAGGCTGTGTTAGGGAGGAGTAATGTTGTGATGTGGCAGTAAAAGTGGTACAAGCGTGTGTGTGTGTGTGTGTGTGTGTATCCTACGGTCATGATAAATGGATATGTTTGGAGGAGGAGGAGGAAAGAGCGCTCAGAATCAAGTTTCTGTTCCTTTGTACAGAATGATTTCTGTGTAGCCGCTTGCCACTCTTATTTCTACACACTGAGGCTGAATAATGAGAGATGGGCATTGTTGTTAAATTTAACCACAAGACCACTCGATACACAGGAGATTAATCATAGGGTTGCCAGCTCTGGGTTGGGAAATACATGGAGGTTTGGGGGGTGGAGCCTGAGGAAGGCGGGGTTTGGGGAGGGGAAGGACATCAGTGCAGTTATAGAGTCTACTCTCCAAAGCGGCCATTTCCTCCACGTGATCTCTGTTGCCTGGAGATCAGTTGTAATAGAAAGAGAGCTCCAGCCACCACCTGGAGGTTGGCAACCACATTAATCAATGCAACAGCATTCTTCACCTTTGGTCTCTTCTACCTGAAAAGGTCTATGAAATTTGACCAATCAGGGATTAATACAGAACCGCAGTTCCCCGGGGTGAGTGCCGGGGGGCGGGGCACATGACGAAGCCCCGCCCCCTGCTTCCGGCCGCCCCGCTTCTGGCCCTCATTCAGCCAGGAGGAGGCAGGAGAAGAGGGAGGGTAAGTTGCTTCCTCCCCACCTCTCCCCACCCCTGCCTTCCTGGGGCCACTCCCGCTGGCCTTGCAGGTCCACCGCCGGGCCCCTGATGTCAGGGGGTGTGGCATATGCTAATGAGTTATGCTAATGAGTTCCCCTAGCTCTTTTTCTACAAAATGACCCCTGCCTGGGACCATCATACCTATGGGACCACCTCTCCCCGTATGAGCT